CCTGGCTCAAAAAGGACCATGAGCAAGTGCGCTGACATGCTTGGAATCTGACTCCTGGAAACAGAAATATCCCCTAAATTCTTATAAAAAATTCTTTCCTCTCGAAAACGGCTTTAAAGGATGGTCCAAAAATCCGCTCTCGGCTCAAAGCTACATTCCAGACGCGCGTCAATGTTAAAGGGAGTATTTCTTTGTCTAGCCAGCCTAGTTTAGCTGCTGTGGACTTTTGAATGCAATACGTTTTTTAAAATTTTTCTGCGGAGGGGCCACTTGCGCCGCCATTTTTAAAAAGACAGCAGGAGGGAAAAGGGATGACACATAAGTTTCCACAGTAGAGATAGGTGTCACTTAATATTTACAGCATGCAGAAATAAATTGATAAAAAACCACATAGAGCCATTGGTCCATAAGGGGCAGCTGACCAATGTCCATAAATGTTGATACATGTTACTATTACAACAAGACATCCTCAGTAAGGCAAAGCAGTCTTGTCTCACGTCTAAACCCAGCTCACGTTCCCCTTTAGTGGGTGAACAATCCAAGGCTTGCTGAATTCTACTTGACAATGATTGGAAGAGCCGACGAAGAAAGACAAGATGAACCTTCTTAAGCTAGGGTTTAATGCTCCTAGAAGTTGACACTAACTTTTGGCACTGAGGGGCTGGTGTTAAATTGCAAGTGAAAATCTGTGAAATGTTTGTGATTAGGGTCTGTTGCACATTGCTCTAATATGAAGGTATTCTGATAACTTTTGATAATCTACGCCTATGACTTCACACAAGTTTGTTCAACTCAGGGATTTGCAATGATGAGACTAGAATGCTATAGGGTATTACAGCTGTGGCCAGAGGCATTAAAGCTGAAGTACCTAACTTTGAAAAACAATAATGTCCATATCATTTTAGTTGTCCAATCAGACCATAATATCCTCTTTCTCTCATCAGAAAATATGTTGTCTTTTAGCTAAGTGTGTGAAGTCCTCTCTTTTGAACTTTTTTGTCTGAAAAACTGTTATATGCATTCAAAATCTAGTGATAGAGCCAAACAAACAGAATACAACAATAAGAAGGATTTATCACATTATGTTATTAATATAATTTAATTTTTATTACTGTTGTGAAAATGTTTACAGACATTGAATTTTCACCAACAATGATTTTGGTTCAATTGGAGTCAAATTAATGATGTGGTTGTGTTTGTCTTTCTGAGCTTTAGAAAAAGTTTTAAAATGATTGGTCCCATGATTTCAGAATATGTAACATTAATATTGTTTTTTATAATTTAACATACTCTTTATCTTATTCACTTTTTAACGGTTTGCACATTTCCAGTCTCTTGCATACCCTCAGGGATCCTATTGATGCCAAATTTAACATAAAATATTTTTTAAACAAATATGTACTCTCTGATCAGCGACGATTCATCATTATAAAAGAAGTTTATAATACCTGTATAGCTGGGCTTCCTTAACTTCAGATAGATCCATAGGTCCCACATTATTGCCAACTTGCTCTCTCCAAAACTCCAATTAATACTGCAATATGACTTGGTGTCCTTGCCGCAACAAAGGTGGGCCGGAGCCTTGAATGCGTTAATGAAAACAAAGCTAAGCTGCTGACGGAGGCACATTTCTGCTTGGCCGCACAGGTTGAATTTCCAATTAGAGAGGAGTGCAGTGCGGAGAGTAGCATGGAGCTGGCTGTCGGGGCTGCAGGTATAAGCTCCTTCCATACAGACCTGTCACTCAGCCTCTGTGCACGTGCGACCCCGATAGAGATGGATGTGCAGACGAGAGGCGCAAGTGAGGGAGGCTGGGAGACGCTTCACACACACAGGCTCATCATACGGAGCCAGAAGTGTGCGTGTAACCTACTCAGAGCAGTTTAAGATGTTCACAGGGGGCTGCAACTGCCAGGGCGTGAAATCCCACTCTTTCACAGGAGTTATAGGACCAGTGCATTGTGGTGGATAGAGCCGACGCCTTCTTGTAGGTTGTTGAGTAACGGCTGTCAAAGAATCGCTGACGCTACGATTAAGACCCGTAATTTTATCTCATCGAGGCTGTGAGTAAGAGTGTATATTTGAAATGGTTTAAGCCTTTAATGGTTTCCTCAACATTTTGGTGGATCACTTTTTGAGTTACTACATCTACTTTAAGGTTGGAGCTGAAATCGACCTCATTGGGGCATCTCTATCACTTGGATTTAGGCAGGTTTACCATCAAACTGTATCTCAATTATTTGGTAAAGGCCTGTGATATAAAACAAACAAACTAGGGATTAAGAAAGAAAAATATATTATAATAATATTTGTGTTATTAGTGCTCCTGCATTGGTAAAAAAAATTGGTAGAAAAGCTTTGTTCAAGAAGTGAAGAATAAAGGGGTAATTTCCTTGTTGGAAAATATAGGGCTGTCAACTGATTGATCTGTATGGATGTATTAGTCAATTGTTGAACCTTTCATAGACTTCAACATGATGAGAAGAGGTTTTTTTTAAACTCAAATTATACATTAATAACTGCAGAATAAAAAGAAAATATTAAATGTGTTAAATTTGTCTTAAAACAACCCAATGTTTAACACTTAATACAAAATATTGTGAACATAATATTGTCTCTTCATGAGTTGATTTGCTCGTTTTTGTCATTGCCGATTTTTTTGTTGTCATTTTCCATTTTCCTCTTCTATTTTTGTTTTCCATTGTTTTTTGCTGCAGGGATGAATACAAGCAAATCTTATTATACTCGATTGATAATATGCAGATTGAAAATGACTTTGTAATGAAAGCCGTCTATTTTCAAACTCCCATATCTGATAACTGCGTTTGTCAGCAATGCTTATATTTTTTTCTCGTTTGCTTATTTTGACCATCTATAAAGTTATTCAAAAAAACACTTCACTGCGCTGCGCCAAGGACTTTTGTACGACTCCTTACAAAGCGGAGCAGTAGAGCATTAGCTCTTTGCACATTTTAGCTCTGTCCACCTCTGATGCAGGTAAATGGCCGTCCTGCTGAGTCTGCTCGCTTCAACATAGAGCTGCAGTGAAGTGTTGGCCTCCACCTCTCTATTTAACCTGTGAGCGGCTGCACTGCAGGGGGGGGGGCTCTGACATTGTGCAACTATAGAACTTTTCAAAAGGCTGCAGCTTGAGTCCTGACTATAACCAGAAAATATGATCACATTGGTTTAATTCTCAGGTCTCTGCACTGGATTCCTGTGGCCAAGTATATCAGTGATATGTTGGTCCCATATGAACCAACTTGGACTCTGAGGAGCACAGGGACTGGCCTCCTGCTGGTGCCCAGAGTCAGGACTAAACATAGGGAGGCAGCGTTTCAGATTCATGCATCTAAAATCTAAAAATGTAAATCAGGCTTCTTCTCTGACAGTTTTCAAATCCAGGTAAAAAACAATGGCTACAATGGGCGACAATGGCTCAGTTGGTAGAGCATTGGCCTTGGGGCCTGAAGGTTGTGGGTTCAAATCCACCACGAGACCTACTTTACTACTCCCACTGATGACGGCTGGCGTTGTGTCCTTGGGCAAGACACTTAACCCCACTTTGCCCAAAGCCCCCACTGAAAGATCTCAGCTCCTGTGGACTCCCCACCTGCAGGAGGATCAGTGAGGGGCTGGTGCTCTGTGAAGTGGGTGCAGCTCTGACTGCAACCCCCCTGACTCAGAAATGGATTAAGGGGAAGAAGATGGATGGATGGACAACTGAGGGACTCTTCACTCTTTTTAATCCACCCATCCATTTTCTACCCCTTAATCCATTTCTGGGTAGGGGGGGTGGCAGTCAGAGCACCAGCCCCTCACTGATCCTCCTGCAGGTGCTGAGTCCACTGGAGGACAGCTGCTCTGTTTGTGTGAGCATAGCCTTGACCTTTCAGGGGGGCTTCAGGCAAAGTGGGGTTAAGTGTCTTGCCCAAGGACACAACAACAGCAGACATCAGTGGGAGTTGGTGGAGAAAGTCTTGTGGTGGGCTTGAACCCACAACCTTCAGGCTCAAAGGCCAATGCTCTACCAACTGAGTCACTGTCGCCCTTTTTAATGTACTGTGATTATTTATGATTTTAATTCCTTGTGCGCTTCTTCTCTTCAGCACTGTAAGTTGCCTTGTGTATGATTTGTGCAATAAACTTTATAGTCCCCAGTCTAAAGTTCGGGACTCAGATAATTTACTGATTATCCCAGAATTATTCACATGCTTATAACTGTTGTAAATGCAAGCTTTGATCTCATGCTTTTTTCTCACCTATATATTGATTTTGTTCCTAGGACCACTTAAAGGAGAAGCTACGTGGCATTTCCGTCTGGTGAAAGCTGCTCTCTGGGTGAAAAGGGTGGAGGCCTCTGCTGTAGAAAATGGGCATAGGCAAACCCCCTCAGACTCCTCAGACTGGCCATGACGAGAAATTCAATTTCTTAAAGTACTTCTATGTTATTAGGATTGTAACAATACATTATTTTACCACTGTGGTGCATTATAAAATATTCCTTCTTGGATACTTGCTATAATACTGGATGATCTTCTAAAATCTAACCCAAATAAAATAAAACCCTTAGATGAGAATATTGTTATACGTACATCATGTCATAATTATTATGCCATAATCATCAAAAATGTATCAAGCACAGATTGACAAAAAGTGTGTCACTCTGATTTAGTTGAATTACAGAAAGAGGGTTGTTTGGCACACCTGCATGTGAAAGCCAGATCCCATCAGACCTCTGAAGCTAAGCAGGGCAGAGCCTGAATAATAAGGATGATTTGGAATGGTTGGAGGGGCCGACAACACATGCCTCCCTTCTGCCAGTGTGCCCCAGGGCAGCTGTGACGACAGTAGTAGTTTATCACCATAATAAACACGTGAAGAGTCTTTGAGACTCCAAAAAAGCGCCATAGAAAACCTGTTTTCTGTTTAGTTTTCCCTGTTGCAGAAGCCAGTTTTATCACATTCTCCTCTTTGATGAAAAACAATAAAAATCTCACCTTTGTTGTGTCTGCTGGCCATGTGGTAGGCTTTGGAGCGGTACAGGATGTGTGTGTCTGCGGTGTAGATACTGTCCAGGTCCTGTCTCCACGTGTCTGGGTTCAGGGACTTCAGCAGCTCCTTGATGGTGTCAAACGAGGCGATGGTCCTGTCCAGGTCCTCCAGGGAGAAGGGCACCTCTGGGACCAGCGCCTGCACCTGGCCTCCCCCAAAGTCCTGTGTGCAAGAGTCACACAATGGTCACACGACAGTGCAGTGCATGATGGGATTATGTTCCAGGGTCACCGCATTGCCGCTGCTTTGAAACCATGCTATTGTAATTCTGTCGACCAAAGGTTACATAACTCATTTTAGCTGCAACAATTCGACTGATGTTTCTTGGATCTTAAGAAAAATCCTCACATGCTCACTTGATGAATTTATTGAAAGTGAATTATTTGTATATCTTTAGTCCTGGAGGCCTTTAGTATCCTTAAATAATAGATAATTTGGTGCATTTTTGGTTTGTATTAACAAATTCAGTTATGTTTTATGAAATTCAGAAGGCTTCACTGACAGAATGCTCCGAGACTGCGGTCCGCGAGAGCAGACCACCATTGGGTGAAAAGTCACGCAGAATGCAGAAATGTTTTTGATAATGTAAATGTCAACCCTTTTGGACACAGCAAAACTATTGATGAATGGAGAGAAGGAGAAAAGAAGAGCAGCATCTTCTTTGCACTCATAAAACAGGTTATATTTAGTAACTGTACTTTTAATAGAAACGTAAAGCAACCAGCAGTAAAAGAACAGACCTGGATTCTTTACATTCTATACGTCTGTTCATTGGCTGTCCCACGTAAACACATACATACGTTAAATAAAAGTCACAAGTTAAAGATTCATTGCTTTAGCCTCTTAATATTGATCAACTTGAATGAAACACAATTTTTTTTTGGGAATGTTTGCTGGCAATGAGATACATTTTTGCGCAATATGTTATAAGTGAGTGACCATGAGGAGCCATGTGGGTATATGACGACTCAGAGTCTAGAACAGCACAAAGGGTCACCAAAATGTTTTTAAATCTTTACAGAACAGACACAAACTAAATTCTCCTGTTTTCTTTCAAATAAAAGCTACAAAAACATGTTTTATTTGCTACTAGATACTCCTCATGTTTTTCCCAACCCCCACATTTATCATAAACATCAGTAATACAATAAATATTACACATTATTTTTTCCTTGATACTCAGTGATACTCAGTGTGAACATATAGAAAACTGTGATTAATATCTCCCTGATCTACTGCTATATTTCATGCCCTTTTGGCCGGACAATTCGAGACCGACGCTGTTAGAAGGCGAGGGCCGCGTATAAGAATACAAAACATCCACCCACGCACAAGCATTACCAACCCATGCAGAAAACTTGACCCACAGTCCAGTGCACAATAATTATTATCATCACAAATGTCAGAGCGTTTCCACTCATTAGCATCACGACATGTGCCTGTGAAAACATTAGTCAAAGGAGGCGTGTGTCTCTTCATCTGCCCTCTGTGGATCATATGAAAGTAGTATGTGCATAGTGGAGAGAGGGCCAAGTGGGCGCCTGTCACAGTTAATACTTTAGTCCTTGTTAGAGACGGGTTTTCCAGCTAGCCTTTTACTTCCGCTTTATCTATGGCGGGCCCACGGTTTTCCATATATGTATTAAACACTGGCTGGGCCTGTGGGGGAATCCCATTAAGTGTATATGCGTGTATGTGTGTGTGTGTTTGTGTGTGTGTGTGTGTATGACTCACCGACATGAGCAAAGGATCGTTCAAGTTTGAGGGAACTGGAGGATCGTACTGTGGAGAAACAAAGACATATTAACATCCATATAACATAACAAACTTGTACTTTGCAATCCATGTACAAGTAAGACAACTGACGGAACAAAAGTCAGCATGCATTTTAATACTATTGTTAGATACTTTTGAAATGATCTATCTATTTGTTTTGTTTGTATGGATGCATGTGTTTCTGCTGCTACTGGACACCTAAATTTTTTCTACGGGAGATCAATAAAGTATCCAACCAACCATCCATCCATCCAACCAACCATCCATCCAACCAACCAGCCAACCATCCATCCATCCAACCAACCATCCATCCATCCATCCATCCAACCAACCATCCAACTAACCAACCATCCAACTAACCAACCATCCATCCAACCAACCAACCATCCATCCAACCAACCATCCATCCAACCAACCATCCATCCATCCATCCAACCATCCATCCATCCAACCAACCATCCAACCATCCATCCAACCATCCATCCATCCATCCATCCATCCATCCAACCAACCATCCATCCAACCATTCAACCATCCATCCAACCATCCATCCAACCATCCATCCATCCATCCATCCAACCATCCATCCATCCATCCAATCCATCCATCCATCCAACCAACCATCCATCCAACCAACCAACCATCCATCCATCCAACCAACCATCCACCCAACCATCCATCAAACCATCCAACCAACCATCCAACCAACCATCCATCCAACCAACCATCCATCCATCCATCCATCCAACCATCCAACCATCCAACCAACCATCCATCCATCCATCCATCCATCCAACCAACCATCCATCCATCCATCCATCCAACCATCCAACCAACCATCCATCCATCCAACCAACCATCCATCCATCCATCCAACCATCCATCCATCCATCCATCCAACCAACCATCCATCCATCCAACCATCCATCCATCCATCCAACCAACCATCCATCCATCCAACCATCCATCCATCCATCCATCCATCCAACCAACCATCCATCCATCCAACCATCCATCCATCCAACCAACCATCCATCCATCCATCCATCCATCCATCCAACCAACCAACCATCCATCCATCCATCCATCCATCCAACCATCCATCCATCCATCCATCCATCCATCCAACCATCCATCCATCATGTCTCCATACTGAGGGCAAAGCGTGACTCGTACTTGGCACCTGCTTGTGTACACTCATGTTCCACTCCATGCCTGTTCGTACGTCTCAGACAAGGCCCTCATAAATGTTTTTTACACATTTATGTAAATCTTTACGCGTGGCAAGAGCTCTGGTGTGTGTGCACACCGGGGTAGTCTTGCACAGTTTTTCCTATGTGGTTTTACTGCAAATGGCAAATTGTTTCCTCAACCATTTGGTGGACCACCTTTTCAGTTACTGTATCTACGTACTCGAAGCTTGGGAACTGAATCTACCTCTTTGGGGCATTCACTTAACTGCATGTTAACCATTTGGTAAAGGCCTATAATAATAAAATAATAGGAGTGGGATAAAAAAATAATAAGGGCGACAGTAGCTCAGTTGGTAGAGCATTGGCCTTAAGGCCAGAAGGTCGTGGGTTCAATTCCCACCTCTACACCTTCTCCAACGACTCCCACTGATGACTGCTATCGTTGTGTCCTTGGGCAAGACACTTAACCCCACTTTGCCCAAAAAGCCCCCACTGAAAGATCAAGGCTATGCTCACACTCAGAGAGCAGCCGTCCTCCTGTGGACTCACCACCTGCAGAGGGTCAGTGAGGGGCTGGTGCTATGAGACTTGGGTGGCATCTCTGATTGCCACCCCCCTGACCCAGAAATGGATTAAAGGGTAGAAAATGGATGGATGGATAGATAATAATAATAATTAGTTATTAGTGCGCTCCATTTTAGAAAATCCATAAAAGAAAAAAATCCATAAAAGAAAAAAGAAAAAAATACAAGCTATTGTATTATAGGGTTAAAGTTGATGTATTTCCTTTTCATTTCATTTAATTTATTTATTTATTTGAAAAGGGACAGTGTACAATATACATTAACCTCAGAAAGGAGAGATGCATTGTACCAGGTTGTATGTAGCACTTGTGCTAATTTCCACCTGCAGTCCCTGGGCAGACTGATGTCAACATACAAAGGTACATTTCTGACCATGGACGGAGAATGATGAGGGGCCTCAAGGATTTCAAAGGATTTCGGACAATCAGGAGGCTGTGGGGTTGAGCATGGGCGGGTCTAACCAATGCTTAATTCTCTACAACTTCAAGAAATATTGAGAACGTTGTACCTGTTTCGACAATATAATATTCTAGACAAGGATGAAAACACACATTTCATTTACCTCACAGTTTTATTTGATATTTGGGTCTTGTTGAATAAGGCCAATAATGTCCAGGAGTCATCGCTCATAGTCATTGTCCATTGATGACATATTATAAGTTCCATCATTTAGAAAACTTTTTCAGCTTTTATCACAAATGGGCGCATGGACAGTCTTCAATAAAAGATAAATAAATATTCCAAACTATAGTGGTCGATATCGATTATTAGTAGTGAATGGGGCAGACGGAGAACAGGTAATGATGGCAGTAAACTCGAAAATGTTGGTGTCAAAAAGTTGAATAATAGAAATTCTAGCACAAAACTTTAAATATGGTCATTGAACACAACATGTAACAGCAGAATTGGAGATAAACAGCTTGAGAGTATAAGGAGGAAAGTAACAGATGCCGACTTGTACATAATGTGATTTTCCCCCAAATTAGCGGCACGGTGGCTGAGTGGATAGCACTCTCGCCTCTCAGCAAGAAGGTCCTGGGTTCGAATCCCGGTCGGACCAGGGCCTTTCTGAGTGGAGTTTGCATGTTCTCCCCGTGTCTGCGTAGGTTTCCTCCGGGTACTCCGGTTTCCCCTACCACTAAAAATATGTCCAATGGATCTGGCATGCGCTTCCTGTACTGGCGACCCCGCTCCCATCTCTGTGTGGAGTGAGAGACAAATGCCCAAAATTAACAATTGTAAACCGCTTTGAGACTCAGATCTGCAGTGAAAAGGCGGTATATAAATAAAAACTTACTTACTTACTTACTTACTAATTAGGTGTTCTGTAATTTAAGTTGATTTTGAATAAACTAAATAAATCAAACATGGGCTTAGTTACAACATGAGGTCTGGCACAGCTGTTGTGTGGACTGAATAAACAGAGAATAGAAGCCAATGTCTGTGCCGATAATCTACCCCAAATGCATTTACTTTGAACCAGTGCATAAAACAAAAATTAAATATAAGATAAAAATCACTACTTGTATGGAAGTCATAAAGTCACAACTTTAAAACTCAAAAGTATTAGTTTAAAAGTCAAAATTATGACTTTTTAAGTTGTAATTTTAAGATCTAAAGTCGTAATTTCGAGTTTTAAACTGTGCATGTCCAGTTTCTGCAGCAACAAAAGCACAATATATCAATAATAAAATAGATACTATTAATACCGATGGTATTAATAGTATCTTTTTATTTACCCAAAAGTTTGGGTAAATAAACCTTTTCTGACTTGAAATCGGATACCTGTACAAACGTTCCCACCCCACGTATGTTCCTTCTAGTAAATTATAACACAGTGGCACCAAGTGGATGAAATATATAACCGCAGGTAAAACAGCTCACGGTTTAAACATAAAGACTGGGGACAAACTGTTCATTTGTTGTTATTATTCTAGAATAAAGTGTAGCTAAATAAAATGAATATAAACATATTCATTCATATCATTTGTTAGCGTTACCTTAACAAATGATAGCTCCATAAATGTAAACATGGATGTATGATGTGTTATATGCATTAGCCATCTTAAATATTACATCCCACACATGAACTTAGAAATGTTCTGAATATTTACAGTCTGTGCCTCAAAGCAACAATATCTTCAACATAACCTGCTAACCGGAGACTATTCCAGAAGACAGCTTTACATGAGTTTAAAACTCAAAATTCTGACTTCCTGTAGGCTTTTTTTGTTTTTACATGGCGGAAACAGGCTTCCATTCTACTTGCATACAGATTATAAATAAACAATAAGATACAATGAGTTAGTTTGGGAGTTTGGGGGTGCTCATAAGCTTTATACTTCAGCCCACTCCTTCTGAGCAGAACGTAAGACTGCTAAAAAAAATAAATTACAGTATTCACTCATTATACACTTTACAGACTCAAAATGGTGAACAAGTTTGCACTGCTATAGTGACTTTTAATGTAAAATAAAAGTACATCATATATCTGCACACAAGAGACTAAATGTTCACTTTAAACACGTTTGTGTTTTTCTTGTCTTTTTGCACACCCTGAGTGATACTATTTATGACAAATGTGACATGTGCATTTCTACTCTGTCAGATCAATAACTGTAAGGCAAGGCAAGGCAAGTTTATTTATATAGCACAATTCATACACAAAGTAATTCAAAGTGCTGAACAAAACAAGAAAGCATTGAAATCATAAATAATCACAGAACATTAAAAAGAAAGCTAAAAATATAAAAATCCCTCAGTTGTATGCACAGCTAAACAGAACTGTTTTTAACCTGGTTTTAAACATTGTCAGAGAGGAGGCCTGTCTCACATCTTCAGGAAGACTGTTCCAGATTTTAGCAGCATGAATCTGAAAAGCAGCCTCCCCATGTTTAGTTCTGACTCTGGGCACTAACAGGAGTCCAGTCCCTGTGCTCCTCAGAGTCCCAGCAGGAGTCCAGTCCCTGTGCTCCTCAGAGTCCCAGCAGGAGTCCAGTCCCTGTGCTCCTCAGAGTCCCAGCAGGAGGCCAGTCCCTGTGCTCCTCAGAGTCCGGGCTGGTTCATATGGTACTAACATGTCACTAATATATTTTGGTGCTAGGCCATGGAGAGACTTGTAACAAGCAGAGCTGTTTTAAAGTCTATTCTCTGAGCCACAGGAAGCCAGTGCAGGGACCTGAGGACCGGACTAATGTGGTCGTACTTCCTGGTTCTAGTCAGGACTCGA